CTATGGTGGATGGGTGAAGGAGGTGGAGGTGGAAGAAGGTGTGAAGGTGCTTGGCTATGGTGGATGGGTGAAGGAGGTGGAGGTGGAAGAAGGTGCGGAGGTGCTTGGCTATGGAGGATGGGTGAAGGAGATGGAGCTAGAAGGAGTGAAGGTGTTTGGCTATGGCGGATGGGTGAAGGAGGTGGAGGTGGAAGAAGGTGCGAAGGTGCTTGGCTATGGAGGATGCATGAAGGAGATGGAGGTGGAAGGAGAAGTGAATGCGCTTGGCTATGGCGGATCCCAAGTTTCCAGTTTCCACCTACTTTTGTGGTCTCACCAACAGAAAACCCTTGACTTGCGAAATTCAGATTTGCACAGGCACTCGGACTTTGCAAAACTCAGACTTGCAGGAAAAATTCAGACTGCGAAAAACTCAAATTTGCGGTTTTTCAGTTTTTGCTAGTTTTGCTAGGGAAGGAGAGCCGAGAAACACAAATCTGCATTTGGTGGCCCAAACGATGTCAGATGTCCACGTAACTTCATAGGCCCTCTGTCTATACCCTACTGAAAACCCCCTAGAGTTTGACCGGATTCCGTCGCGATTTGCCCCTACTTGCCTGTTTCGAGCACCACCCGAGGCCCTAAGTGAACGAGAGACGGTTAACGGGGGCCCAAATATTCGCCGTTTTCGTTGGCAATTGCGGTGCGAATTTCATCAAAATTTTTAAAAACAAACGATAGGAGATCATAGTGCAAACATAAGAAAAGGAAACAGGCCAAAAAGAACGAAAAAAAACAAAAAAACACTATGAAACCCTAACACAAAGACACTGCTCGAGTCAAAATAAAGCGTCCAACGAATTCAACAAAATGCCAACTTTTTCATTATTGATCCAAACATGTCAAAACTGCACACATGACGTACCCTAAAGCACATATATATCACACAAAAAAAAAACACAAGAAAAAAAGCAAAAAATCAGCACAATATGACAGTTTCGATGCAATTCGGTGCAAAATTCGTCAAAAATAACACCCCTGGTTAACCGCATGTGTTGGCCAAGCATCAGTAGCAACAACATTAGCCTCAAAGTGAGTAGCAGCAGTGGCAACAACGACAGCCACAGTCCCCTACCTACTCCCCTTTCTTACCGTGTTCAAATAAAGCACGGAGGGGTGAAGCGGTGTTCAAACAAAGCACGGGGGGGATTAGTGTGTCATTCCAATAGAGCACATGGAGAGGTGAGCTGTCACAGATACACAATGTCTACTCAGTTCAACAAAATGGACAAGGATTGAGGTTGCACTTTACATCCAACTGAAAATTCAACAAGGTATAGAGGGAGAGTGAGTGAAAACTCACTCCCAAGTGTGAAAACATAAACAACAAAGTGGCGAAATGCTTTGCAGTGAAAACAGACAAGGTATGGGTATTTGACGACATCAACACTAAGATGAACAATGACAAGCGCGGCAAATCACTCCTAAGTGAAGAATTGAACAAAAGATAAAAGGAGAGTGAGTGAGACTCACTCTCAAGCCATGAAAATGATGAAACTCAAAACACAAAGCGTCGGGACACAATGGAAAGTGAAAATGGACAATGCATGAATAAATCGTAACCACAACATTAAAATCAACAAGAACAAAAATGACGATTTACTAAGTGAGAGTTAAAGCATATGATGAAGGGAGAGTGAGTGAGACTCACTCTCAAGCTATGAAACTCAAAACACAAAGTGTCGGGAACACAATGGAAAGTGAAAAATGAACAATACATGAATAAATGGTGACTACAACACGATTTGCCATCAAGTGAAGACTAGAGCATAAGATGAAGGAGAGTGAGTGAGACTCACTCCCAAGCTATGAAACCCAAAACACAAAGTACCGGATTACAAAGGAGAGTGAAAACAGACAATGCAAGTCTAGATGATGACTGCAATAGTAAAACAAGCAAGGACAAAAGTGACAATTCACTCTCAAGTGAAGGTTAGATCAATGGACGAAGGGAGAGTGGGTGAAACT